AGAATGTTTTCTGTCTCGTTGCATAGAGTGAATAATGATTTGAAAAAGAGCAATTTCTCCTTATTGTTCCGTTTGCCTTGCTTACAGTACATTAAATGAATTTTCCAAATGAAATTGAATATTTGTAGTATTTTCTGTATTTCTAGCCTCAACTCCCAGGTCTTATTTTAAAATTAAACAGTCTTGTCTCCATTGTATGTGCTTCCCATACGTGCCTGAAATAGGATGTGAGAGCTGAGGCCGAAATACAGGAAATTTCTCTATTGCCTTCCTCCTTCCCCTGGTTCCTCCAAAAGTTCAGAAAAAACTAATTAGAGAAGTTTTCATCTGGAAAGAAGCCTCAGTAGCTTGAGAAAAAGGGGTGTGGAGTAGTGGGGTTTGCTTTTCCATTTAAAATACAAAATCATAGTATCCTAAGGAAAACATCTGCCCATTGGGGCTTCAGGTAGGAATAATGTAGTCTCTTAAATACTCTTTCCTAGCAGGTCTTTCAATCCAAATTTAGATGCAGTTATTTGGGTTGCAAATAACAGTGCTGAAAACCAGAGCCATGTTACGTTAGGCAGTATATTAACATACATTAACACACTGCTTTGAAGATTCTACCATCTAAATTTAAAGAGGAGAAGTAAATACATGTATGAATACCAAGACAGCAAAAGTTGAACAGTATTTGGAGTTCAGTGTAGATGCCTTGTGTGGCTGGACTACAGGTCTGTCAAACTGGGTGCAAAGGTTTGCCTTTGCAACTGTGACATCACTGTATATCCCAGGCTTATGTAGGCCCGTATACTGTAGTTTGAGCTGCTGTGTGACTATTCCTGACAACACAAAGTATCCTTGAGAAATCAAGAAATTCTTGCCTCCTTTCCTTTCTCAGTCTTCCCTGCCTGTTTGTGATTCTTGCTTGCCTCTCTGGTAGCTTGCTTTGTCAGCAGCAGCCCAGCATTAGCAAGAAAGGGACCTGAATCAGCACTGAGTAACACTACTATTTAATTTTTAATATCTCCTGATACGTAGTTTGCTGTTGGGGAGTAAGAAGGGGTTATGATAGTGTCACAGCATCAATGAGTTCATGATTTAGAAATACTGGATGTGTTTCATGTGAAAGGTATCTATTAATACTATATCAGACATTAGAATTTCCTATATTAAAAACTGCATGTGCTGTGTCTGTTGATTTTCTACTAACCCTTTGTTAACCAATTTACAACACATTGTTAAGACTTGATGAAGTATAACTTTGTTTTGCTGTTTTTTGTTTTAGTCATGACACTGTACGATAAATGACTTAAATAGTCAATATATCCAGGTTTAATACTGGATTCACCCACTCAGAACAGGATTCAGCTTATTATTTTCATAGACCCTTGTATCTTGCATCTGCGGGCAAGGAAGTAAACCTAGAACTTAAATGGAACATTGAAGAAATGGTACAGTTTAGAACCAGGAAGCAGATGTAATGCATAACTCTGTTTTCTGCAAGAGCATTTCCTATTTATTATTACTTGTAGTAATTTAATGAATCTCTTGGTGCCTTTGGGAACACTATTAAAAATGCATTTGTTGAGTTTGTGGCATGACTGCATATTTTCTGTGTAGCAACAATTTTTTACAACAATCTAATGCAACTTTTTAAATTGGAAAACTGATGGGTTCTTATTTATATTATCTTGATCAGGACATCTGTTTCTGTATTCATAGAAGGAAATTTCTATCCGTTCGGTGATACGTGATCTGCTGGAATAATATAACCTGTCCTGCCTTGGCTCTGCTTAATTTTTATTTTAGGGTTTGCCTATGTGAGTATCGAGGTGAATAAATAAAAATGTGAATCAAGTTTGCAAGATTTCCTACATGTTAGTATTGTGGCAGGTATTTTCCAGGCTGGGAGCTCGGAGGCTGAAAAATGAACCGTGTGTCTCCCTGTGAATGTGTCTACATAGGAGTACTTAAAAAGGATGAAAGCAATTATACGTACCATTACGGTACCTCAAAGTACCTCTGTGTATATGCCACTAGAATAGGAAGTAGAGAAAAGTCATCTCTCAACTTAATGAATATTTAGGACTTGGGTTTAAACATAGTAAAACAAGAAGGCCCTTCATTATTGGGTATCAGCAGCTATAAAGTCAGGAAGTTTCTCCCTTGGTATAGGTTGGCGTAAGTGAGCTTGTTCGTGTTGGAGTTTTGTCATGTATTTGAGTTGGAATAGAGGATTTAGTAGTCTGTTAACATAACGGTCTCTTTGGGATAGTCTTAAAGTTAACCAGAATGCTTGGTGCAGCGTATTACAACATTTATGATAAACACCATTTCAGCAGCTGCCGCTAGGAATACATCCATGTTCCTACATTGCTGAAGTTACTTAAATTCCTGGAATTTACTTGAGATTTTTGAATGTTGATATGTTCAACAGTATTGCTTTTGGGAAAAATGTACTGTATACACCTAATATACAAGACATGAGTATTTCAAAAGCTAATATTCAATTTGCTGGTTTATGTAATGTTTTTAAAGAACACAGCTTTACAGAAATGGGGGCAATTAAAGTAAGTAGCACTAGAGTTAGGAGATGTGTTAAAAGACGGGCAATTTGGAAGTTCAGATCCAGCATGTAGTTTCTCAGGTTACTTTGAAGTGGAAAAAACACTTTTTCAAGTTTAAAATGTTTATCCAAGTCTTAAAATTTGATGGGGGGAAGACAATTTGTTTTGTTATAATACTGTTAAATTTACTAGAACTCTAATGAGTAAATTTATATTGTTAGGCATAATAACTAGCATTTTTCACTGCCAGCTGTGTAAATTGACAACTGCTTCAAGTAATTCTAGAATTGTTTTTGACATGACTTCTAGTTCTTGAAATCAAGGATACCCATTCAACTTTGGGTAGTGAAGAAACAGCAAGAAGGATGAGATGTCGTTTTGTCTGATCACAACTTTAATTTGGTTCATCTAACAACTGCCTGCATGTAATAACAACTCCAAGGTGTTTTATCTTTTCTGTCCTGTTCCTGTCTATTAGAGGAAAGACGCTATTCGCATGAAGAATGGTTCTTCTGTATTTTCAGTGTTAAGTCATGAAAAATTTGGTACTGTGTAGGATGATGCTGTTCCTTAGCCCGGAGGATGGAGGACTCCTTAAAGGAGTCCTTTAAAAAAGCTCCATTCTTTTCATCTGACCAAAAAAAGTATCCCCTCTGCTCCGTGCCTCAACCCCTGCATTTTGAAGTTGGGGCTGTTGAATTCTAGCAGCATCTGTGTCCTTCCTGTCTGCTGAATATTTAATCTCTGATGCTTTCAGAAATGTCGCTGGCTTCTGGATTTGTAAAGAAATAGGCTGTTTGCTAAAATCTGTTAAAAGTGTTACACTAGGAGGAAAAATGTTATTTTAAAATACTCTTCTGATGTTATACACAATTGGGAAGCTATTAAATGCTTCCAGAATTACTATATGTAAGGAAAAAAGTTGGCGTAAACAAAAAATGGGTTATTTAGTCATGTATATTTATTTCCTGGTATAGCAAATGTCTGGCATAGATTCAGAAGAGCTTGGATCTTCAAAAATCCAGTTATTTCTTTTTTTCCAGGAGAATGTCCTCTTCAGTATCCTAAGTAGCTATATGTTCAATTTTCCTTTACTTTTTCACTTTTTTACTACATTTTTAGTAGAACAACTATCAAATCTACAAGAATTGTTTAGTCAGAGCATTTTCAGAGGGTGGTGAAGTCCTCTGAGCTCTGTAAAATAACAAAAAATAAACCAAACCCAAACTCTGGTATGTTTTTCATGCTTTCATGAAATATATCCTTTCCTGTTGACATAAAAAAGGACATAAACACAGGAAGAAATCCCCTAGTATCTTGTAGTCAAACTCTGCCTTTTTTGACTTTTACATTGATTTAAGAAAGCCAAGAATTTCATGTATGGTCACCAAAGAACCTTTAGGAGCTTTCTTTGTGCTTAAACAAAAAAAACCTGACTTCCAGAGAGGTGGCTACCAGACCAAAGAAATACCTTGCTGCAAAATTCCATACTTGAAGTAGTACTGTGTGGAAAAACTCCTGACCAGTGGATTTTGATACCTTGTGCAGTCCCATTTCACATGTATGATGGAAATGGTTGTGCTTGTGCTTTGGGACAAGTAAGAGACAGTTGGGGACAGACTTATATTTTTGAGCAGGTTTCACATGTTTAGAGATTCAAAGGTAGACCACAGCTGGTTCTCACCGGTGGGTGCAAATTCTTGAATAAATACAGCCTTTGCCATCAGTGAAACCTGATAGTCACTCTAAGGCTTTTGCAAGTGTCTTGATTCCAGTGGTAGATCTCTCAGTGGCAGAAAAGAGATTTTTAGAGAAGTAAAATCTTAAGCAAGAGAGTGCTTACCTGCAAGGGGTGGGTGTGTGAGCTGATTATAGAGTAGGGAGCAGAGCACTGGTTGGGTTTACCTGTAGAGGAGTGTCTGCTCTCTTCTCTGGAAACATGGTGGCTTTTACAAATTCCATTCTCACATTTAATTAGGGAGTTGGAATTCTTTTCTATGAGTAGATCTGCTTACAATGCTAAGAGAAGTAAACCTGGCTCTCTAACTTGACCCCAAAGTATTCTCAGTGCACTTAATTTTAAGAGGAAAGTTTGTTTGCCAGCTCTACAGAGAGTGAAGCCAAGTATTTAGTTTCTTATAAAATACTGTTAGTTATAGTACTTTATTCTTTGGGAACACTGGAGAAGCAGCACGGTGTCCTAGCAGTCTGAATTATCCAATAGTTGATTTCATGGTAGCAAAATAAAGAAGATAATGAAACGTTAACAGAAAATTATAGTGATGCTGGATGAAAAGTCACTGAAGGAAAATTGTGGTTTGTAGCAGCACACACTAAACATGTCCATTATATTTAACTTGAATGCTGTGTCACACTTATTTTTTTCAATTTGGTAAATTTAACTGATGCTCTGCGTCTAAGCTAGTCTAACTTCTACTTTTTTTGAAGCAGGGTCCTCGGGAAGCTGTTATTTGGCTTGCTGTACACCATAAGCGAAAAGAAGCTGTAGAAATCTTCTCCAGAGAGATTGCACCAGCTGGAACTGGCATGGGTAAGTATTCACATCATCTTCTAGCACCCAAAGACTTAGTTGTGTGCAGTTTCATTGTGCTGTGCATAGTGAAATAGTAATTTTTTAAAAGGTATATATGTTTGGTGTAGAAATGGGAACTGCAGACTTCAGCAAAATGATAAAAAGTTCTGGAAGTCCACCGTTTTGTTCCTTTGAGACTCTTTATCCTTCTGTTGCTGCTACAGTCCCTTCCTGCCTCTTTTCCTTTTTTCTCATTTGTCTTTGTTTTCCTACCCGTGGTTACACTGATGTGCAACAGTGTCTTACTCTGTTTTACCATGTTACTAAAAAGCAGTAATGCTATTAGAGCTCACTGGCAATAAACATTCTTAATGTTATTCAACTGGCAAAAATTTATCGCAGTGTCCGGTTATAACGTTGCAGTTTATGAAGAGCTGTGCAGTTCGAGGGTTTTGGAGATTCTTCTGAGCACATAGTTATCTGATGTTACTGCACAGGATTTTTACAGATACTACTGTACTTCTGACTTGTTTAATGTGTAGCTGCTTGTGTAGGTAATTAAAACTTTCAGATATAATTCAAAACTTTTTGATATGGTACTGCAGTGAGAATGCTAACAATCTGCATCTAATTATTCACATATATTAGGTGAATAAAGTTAATATACACTGTCCAACTTAAATTCTGATCCTGCACTAAGTCTAACCTCAAATTAATGTGTCTTTAACATCTGTTTTTCTTTGAATTTGTGGTGTACTGCAACTATTACAAGTTTTATTTTTTAATTGACTTACGAGGTAAAGTCAAAATACTGGGATTTAATTATGCAGTCTTGGTTTTGAGTGTATAGTTTAAGTATTTGCATAAGGGTCATCTAGTGTGAAATTATCTATGCACCTATTGTTTACCAAATGTTTGTTCAAAAGACTTTCACATTACTTCTTTGTAAATATCATTGGATTCTCTTCATGAGGACTTACTGTTTGGTTATTTTGAGCAAACTTTTTTCTTTCTTTTTTTTTTTTCTTCTGTTTTCCTCCCAAGTCACTTAAGTGCCACTGTATCCATCTCAGTTGTAAGTAGCACATTTGTATATGGTGATTTGCTGCTTACATTATGGATACTCATCCCACTATTATTATCCATTTAAAATTTGGACAGCTTATTTTGAGGACTAGAGCTTAGATATTTTGCAATGGCTTCTACTTATCTTATGGAAGAATATATTGAGGATGTACATAGATCTTCAAAATTAAATTACATGAGCTGAACCTGAGTGTCTCAACTTCCATAGCAAATCTAGAGTCCTGATTAATGGAGGGGTGGGTAGGTGTTGCCTTGCAGTTAAGGAACTAATAAACATTTTATTTTCAGTGGGTTCAAAATGATATGGAAGTGTGCACATTCTGTGTTGTAGTCCTTACAGTGGTAGCAGAGATATAGTTAATGCAGGGTGGGTTTTTGGTTTTCTTTAAGTTGTGTTTATAGAGGAAAGGTCAGTGCATGATTTTTTTTCTACAAGATAGAATATGATCATGTAGAACTAAATTGGGAATATTCACTGAGATAACTTTTAAAGATTTTTGCAGTTCTGAAGGCTGGTTGGTAGATCAGCATTTAGCATAGATATAAGTTGCTTCTAAAGACTGTTTTTTCTAATCAATGGAAGATATTTTCACAGTTGGACCAAACTACCATTTCTATAATTAGTTAAGGTTTCATAATTGAAGTAGTTCCTCCTTTTTCCTTATTCAAGTAGACTATGTAACATACCTGAAAGTAAAGATCTATACTTACTCTTTATTTTATGTATGCACAGACAATCCCCTAGCAAATATCTTTCTGAACAAAGGAAAGCTGGGTGAATTATAAAACAATTACTTATTTATAAGATTGGAAGCTAATGGACATATACTTGTCTCTCCAAATTCTTAAGCTATGCCTCTTCTTTTATAAAGCAACTGCCGTGTATGTAAATTTTGCCTAAATGCTGAAAGTGCTAGGTTTAGTAAGGTTTTGATTTTATCCTTTCACCATGTTTCTTCACAGAATGGAAAAAAAGTAAAAAATTTGCGCTACTCGGGTTGGGTGGAGTATGGCTGGTATTGAAATTGAGTTACCAGAATATGTGGACATGTGTTCTTCAGGGCTCTTCGTGATGGAACAGATGCATTCCTGTGCAGAATCAGGTTAGGCAGTCCACATGGACAGTGGTGGGGGTGCTGACTTTGTTCCCTAAAGAAACAGCTTAAACGTTTTAGAACATCCTGTAGTATTTATTCTCCAGGGAGGAAAAAAGAAATCTGTTCCAATTCATAGAACCACTGCTAATGAGCAGCGATGGGAAAGGGCATACTTCTGGAATCATCTGGGGCATCCGGTGATAAATAACATTTTTGCTTGCCAGGTACAGAACTGCAAGGTTTTTGGCCTCCGTGATGTAAATTACTAGTGTCAGAGGGTATCGGAGCTGTTTACTGACATGCTTCTGAGTGCTTGAACAACCCCATAAATAGTAATTTTTTTAAACTTGTTGAAGATACATTGAGACTGCTTCATACAATCACTTCTTTTCAGTTGCTGTTGTGTGGTAGATTTCCGTATTACCTGCACAGATAAACTCTGTGTATGCAGGGAAGGGTCAGATGTGGGATTTAAAAGCTTAGTAGGCTGCTTGTTGATGTGGAATACTTTTAAGGCAGTGATTATGAAGAATCTTTTTTCCTTATTTTCTTCAGTGAGACTTAGCAAAAAAAAAAATTCTGCAGTTCTGCCAAGCAATAATTAGCGGTGTACTAATAACTGAATCAGCTTAATGATGCTTAATTTCTGACAGTGGTGTAGGCTGCCAGAACTTGCTGTGAAGAACAGAACAAGGAATGTCCACTGCTTAATTGTCTTAAGCCAGGCAGCTCCGTAGACAAGTCTTAAATTAAAACTCTTGTTGGATAGGTGTATAAGTGATCTTGGGAGCAGAAGTCAGAACCAGGATGACTACTTGTCCTAGGTGAATTCTGTAACAAGAGCACCTGATGTTCTTTTCGTGCCCCCTTCTCCCTCAGCTTTTTCCTCCCACTCTGTTTCACTGGGCCATTTTTGCAAATGATTGTTATTCCCCAGAATGTAACAGCTTCAGCGAGAAGCAGAGCATGCCCCATAGGAGTTGGGTCACTCTTACAGGAGGGCTGCAGTGTCCACAGGCAGAGCAGAACCCAAAACTCAAACCTAGCGTACCCTAAGTGCTGTGGGCAGTGAGTCCTGCAGGTCCCTTTTTGTACAGTGCTGCACCACTTTTTCTTGTTGAGTGAAAATAGCTGTGGCTGCTGCCTCTTACATGGATGGAGCATGCCTTTCAGATGTGCTTTTGCACATCCCACGTGGATCTATGTATGATGTAACCTTGTGCAGCTTTGTTCTGCTAAAATGGTTGCAGTTGTGGGGATGCACACCAAATGAGGTTTTAAGTGTATGTGGCTTTTCCTGTTCACAGAGTCATTAAGGTTGGAAAAGACCTTTAAGATCAACTCCAACCATCACCGCAACACCACCATGCCCACTAAACCATGTCCTGAAGTGCCACGTCGGTATGTTATTTGAATACTTCCAGTGATGGTGACTCTACCACTTCCCTGGGCAGCCTGTTCCAATGCTTGACCACTCTCTCAGTAAAGAAATTTTTCCTAATGTCTAGTCTAAATCTCCCCTGATGCAACTTGAGGCCATTTCCTCTTGTTCTATCACTAGTTACTTGGGAGAAGAGACCAACACCCACCTCGCTACAACCCCCTTTGAGGTAGTTGTGGAGAGCGATAAGGTCTCCCCTCCGATGATGAAAACATAGGCACCCTTTAAGCAACGAAGCCCTGCGTTTCAAGGGTTGCCAGCTTGGTCATGCCCCACCTACCTCTTCCATGTTGGTTCTTTTCCTGGAAGAGAGGTAGAGACTATGAGAATGATTGTAAATAACCCTTCTTTCTTATTTTTTATATTCTTTCAATGAAAAACTGAGGAAAAGCAGGAACAAGTTATAAATCCTTCATAACCAGCAGCAAGGAGAAAGGAGGAGTTGTTGACTTGTAGGGTGATGTCACCTGAACTGAAACACTTCATTCCATACTATTTTGGACATTTTGAGAGCTTTACGAAACAAAGAACACTTTATTTGGTCTATACCAGACAAAAAGGAAAACAAACAAAAAAAAAGGGCAAGTTTTGCTTTTCTGCTTGGACTGTATCGAGTGATTGTGAAGTACTGTTTTTAACTATATTTGTCTTTCACCTCAATAGCAGTTTGGTGTTTGTTGCTCTAAGTGATGTGTGGACAGTGGTACAGGTGATAATTTTCATACATAGGACCTTTCATCCAAGAATCTTTAGCAAGCTGTGTAAACACCAGCAACTAAGCTTTCTAATGTCTATTAACATTGGAAAGTACTCTGTCTGCTTTACAGATGTTTTCCTGAGATAGTGGAAGGAAACATAACCACAAAAGAATTTGAATCAAAGTCCTTGGTTCTGCTTTCCCTGTAAGAAATGCTAGAGAGGAACACCACCAATATTTAAGGGGACCAGGCTGGCTAAAATTTAGGAATGGGGAGTAGAGAAGAGGGATAGAGAAAGGAGATTTGATAGCTCAGAATAAGGGTGGGGAGTCCTAAGAGCCCCTGCTCTGGTCCAAGGGATTTTCCAGTACTCATGTATCTGAGAGGGAGGCAGCACTGACTGAGCCTAGACTATTAGATTTACCTGTGTTTATCAGCTACATCTCTGAGATAAATCCAGGAGCACTGCCACTCTTGGTGTTTCGTCAGGTTATTTCAGCTTGCTAGTTGCTACTTGTGGAGCCCTGAGCTGGATTTGATAGGCAGTTTTATTCTGGTAATAGTATCATAATATGATAATTATAAATTGTAGGTAAAAGAGGTATTAATTTCTTCAAGATCCAGTACTAAAAGCCTAATTTTGGTGGCTTTCACTTAGGCTAAATTTAAATCACTTGAGTCCAAATTTTTTTAGCTATTTGCCTGGAACTTTTTGAGGGAGTTTTCAATTACAATTTTTCAGACACTTCAGGGAACAGCAGTAAGACAAAAAGAAATTCTTTTTCTTCCTGTGATTAAAAAGCATATTGCAATGATTTTGTTGAGGATTGGTGGTCTTAATGCTTCACACCAGAGACTTAAAACTTAGGATGTTAGGTCTTGAGTGTCAGAGATGTGCTTTTTAGCTCTTCTAGTGAATTTAAACTCTTAATGTCAGTATTTCTTAACTTTTGACTTATTTATGGTAGTTCTTTAATTCTGGTAATCAGTTGAAAGGCAACCATCTCAAGCTGTTGTGCCGATCTGAAATTCCCTATTTCTTATTAAATCTCATCCTCTGACAATTCCTCTATATGTTGGAATGGGCTGAAGCATGCGTGTGTTTGTGACCTGCAATATATACAAGGAGTTCGATCAGCAAGAGAGAAGTTTGGGAAGGTGGCATCTTTTAAAAGCCTTACATACTCAAGAGTAAAAGACTGATATTGTCATGGCTATTCCTTAACAGTTTATTCTAATGCTTTTTTGAATTCTCATTGTTTTTGTTGAAGACTTGTGGAGCACATGAGTGTACTTGCACAGAAATTTTCTGATGTATTATTAAAACTGCAAGTGAGATTCTTAAGCCCAGAGCAGAATTTGAAATTACTGTATATAGACATGCCATATATCAGAAAGTGATTTGTTGTTTATTTTCTTTTTGGAATGGAAGGCTTTTACTGTAAACTTCTGTTGACCATAGTATTTAGTTTGCCAGTTTGAACACTTAATCAGTTTTCATTTGGATTATGCTCTTCTGATGGGCTTAAAGGGATACAAGCTATTAAAAAAAGCACCAAACACACCTAATCCAATCTTTTTATCTTTTTTACAATTAACACCTCAGTTTGTTAAACTTTTAATTGATAAAAGTATGCTTTCTGTTTATTTCTCAATACTTTGAAAGTTGATAATAGCCAGGTTTTTTAACAGCAACTAGCAAGTTTGGTTTTGTACGTGTATGGTCTCCTGAAAAAAATAAAAACTTTAAGTGCATCTGTAATGCTCAGCCTTAATTGTGAGGTCTTTGCCGCTATTTTTCTGTTCTATAAAGTGAGCTTTTCTATACTTGGCAGTGAAGAATCCTAGACTCACAGACTCGGAGTTTTAAATCTGTAGCAGCCTGTGGGAGTTCAGTGTAGTTCTGCCTTGCCCAGTCTATAGAAATTCACCCTCACTTCATAAAAGCTAGCAATCACAGACAAGGTTTGCACTAGTCAATGAAAATGTCTTCATTATATACAGTCCGGTCAGCCATATGGTTAGCATTTAAGTAATTTGTGTTGATGTATTTATTTTGCCATCTTTGATTCAGGTAATTTATTCTGAATAAAATGCAGTGTAGAAATGGCTCAGGAAGAGCCTTGCTGTGTGAAACTGGCATTTATAGTTTAATAGGGGTTCAGTAGCTAAGAAATGTTTTACTAATAGCTGAAATCATGTGCTGACCCTTATTTCACATTAAAATGACCGGAGTTTGACACTAAGATGACAGCTGGTTAATACAACTTGAGATTTTAAAGTGCTTGAGTATATGTAAATATTATGACTGATCATCTAAGTGTGTTGGAAGATACTTCCAGAAATGTCCTTGTTCTAACAGTTTACTGCAGTCCCCATTTTTTGAGAATAATATTGCCCAAGATAGTTTATCTGCTGTATTCAGAGGACATAGATAGAATAATTAAGATCATACAGTTGACCCCTGTAAACAAAGATTGTGTGGGTTTTGCACTTCTGCTGAACTGTATTGTAGGAGCTGTTGAGTATAAAACCTTGGATTTCAGATTTGTCTAGTTTGATCACTTTAAATAATGCTTGAGAAGTAGATTTCTCTGATGTCTGTTTTATCTATAAATATATCATATATATCATTCCTTAGAATATGTGGTAAATAGATTAATAACCTTTTGATTGTGCTTATTCAGTCACCAGAAATATATAAAGGACAAAACTGTAAGTTGGTGAGCAAGAGATGTCATTGCATTTTGGAACTCGGTGGAGTTTCTAAGAAAATAGTGTCACCTGTTGAATTTAAAGTACTAAAACTTTTTCAGATTTCCACTAGTCAGAGCATTTTCATGCTTTTTTACTACAGAACATAATGTTTCATGCAGTCTAGCATCTTTCATATATTGCACAATGTTTTATTCTGTTAAAAAATTGAGATTTGTACAGAAATTTTTTTTTTTTACACAATTAGATTAAAGAATAAGAAGTAATAAGCCAAAATGGGTGTGGTGATTAAAGTAGGATTTGAATAAGACAGAGTAACTATTAAGGAGGCAAAACATAAGGCTCTCCCACCATCAGAAAATCCAGTGGGGAATTATGAGAGCTGGAAGGAATGAAGCTTGTTTTGCTGGGAATTTGCATCTCATAGGTTGACTGCAGGTTCCAACCGGAGTTTTTCCTGCCGTCGGGCATTTTACATGGTGTCATATCTATGGCATAGATTATAATGTATTATAACATGGTCGTTCTACATATTGAAATAGGTGCTTGTCTGGGCCAATTTTAAGCATTCTTTTTGCCAGGGCTGGTTTTCAGTGGATGCACTTCCTGAAATGCTTGTGTGAACACCAGAGCTGGTGCAGGGGAGGAGAGAAGGATAAGTGACAAAGGATGGGGGGGAGCTCTGACAGCCCTGACTAAGAGCTACATTGGTTTTCCCAGCACTTTTGTTTGCCTTCTACCACAGTTAATGAAATATATCAGAAACTTGCTGTCTTTTCCAGCATGTCATATATGAGCTTTAAAAGTTTTGGTATTTGCAGGTCCATCCTTGGATGAGTTTTGTAGGGTGAGAAAATAAAAAAGATTGAGAGGCAGCTGGAGAGAGAAGATATACACGGAGGATCAGAAACGATGGAATTGCTGTATCAAGGAATATCTCTTGAGTGGAATTCACCTTGTATTATCTACGTGCACATCTGTTGCCACACAGCTGCCAAATCATGGCAGAGGGTGGTCGTGGAGTGTTCGCATGCTTTGATATTCATGAGATTCCTCTCTGTCCTTCAGATTTGGATGAAGATGTGTTGGAAGAATCATGGACACAAAAGAAAAAAAACTGACAAATATAAATATACATTCATGTACACACTGAGGATGGTGGTTTGTTTTTCCTAAGGTAATTGGGCAGAAGATGGGTAAGATTGAAAGTAGGTTAGAGGGAGGAGTCATAAAATGAAAAGGCAGGATAAGACTGTATGAAGAATTATGTAGATTAACCAAAGAGAAGCACTTGCTAAATAATAATTGATCCTTCATTTTGTAGATTCAGTATAGATTCAAACCTTTAAGCACCGAATCCATAGGAAGGGTCCTTTACCAGTGCTTAGTCACCTAGAAAGAAGTAAATTTAATGGACTTAGTGCCTGACATTTCTCCAATCTTTCCATATATTTGGGAGTTAATGAAATCAGTGGAATTCAAGTGGCGTAATCCCCAGTACTGACTCATTGCTTTTAAATGCCCAGCCACCTGGGGAACTTGCAGTTATCAGGATAGGTCCTCAGGCACTGTGAGGGAGAATGTTCTCGGAAGCGGCAGGCTTTTGGATCATACACACTTGAAGCAAAATAAATCGCAAAATATTCAGTTTGATGATCGCACCAGACAAATACAGATGAACATGAACAGAATATGAATGGCTTGAAAGGAAGGTCTCCAGCTTAAAGGTTTTCAGCTCATTTTGCAGTGCCTCAGTTTTGTGCTGTTCTGAGGCATAGAAGCTGGCTGATAGTGGTGGTGGGTTGTTCGTCAACTTGAAGTGAAGCAACTTGTTCAAGAGTGTGACTGGTGGCAGATAGGATGACACTGTGCTTAGTGATGCTTTATCTGCCTTGAGGAACTAATGAATGGAGCTCTGACAGCAAAAAGTGGTCATACAAAGTTTCTGGGAAAGGAGATCAGCAGCTTCAATTTAGCTGATAATCTTGTCAACTTGATCCTGCAGCCTGATTGATACTCTCTACAACTATGACAAATTACTCATGTCACTGTACATACAGGTAAGCCTTCTTCCAGAAGGAACGAAGGGAAGGAATCCGCACAGATATTTAAGCAAGCAATGTAAAGTAAGCATAAAGTACAGCATGAGGAGATCTTTTTAAAGAAGATGTCTTGGAACAACAGTTGATCTAAGGAGATCACAATTAACTTAGCAGAAGTAGGTCTGGCCACAGTGACAAGCCCAGTGATAACTGGTTGTGCTTCACCTTCTGTTGCTTGCTTTCAGTTTTACTGGAGAAATGTAATAGGGATCTGAGCTCTGGGTTGAGGTGAGGTGTTGTAGTGCTGTTTACACAAAAAACAAATCATTGATTATAAGCCATAATCAATTTAAGACTTGCTCCATCATCTCTGGCTGAAGTCTAAATAGGAATTGCATATAGATGAAACTAAACTGTACTTACAAGTGCTCCCATCTTACTTATGTTAATATAAACAGTGGATTGGATAATCGTAAGACAGAAATGAGTAACATCAAATCTGGGACATTGGTGTAGCTTTGCTCTGCAATTGCATTTATGTGCAGGGGTAGTTCTAGTATCTCCAGAGACATACCTGCTGTTACAGTAGCTTGTGCTGGAGAACTTTGCAAGACTGACAATAGCAAGCAGCAGTAGAAGGTTGTCGTAGCCTCGAGGTGTGAGCAGTTGTTGCTTATAGATGGACTGTTTTCTTGTCAGTGTTGAGAGGTCTGCTTTGTTGTAGGAGCCAAGTTCCATTGTGTGAGAGCAGGCGAGTGAAGAGCTTTCTTTGAGAGATTTCGGGAAGTTGAAGTTGATGTTGGAGCAAAATCTGGTATCCTTAATGAGCAGTTCAGCTGTCTAGCAGGAAGTGAGCCATGTGACAATCCACAGATAATTTAAATTAGCTAACTTTATGAACCTATATTTTCAACATGACCTTACCATATTCAGCCTCCTCCCCTAAGAATCTAAATAAACATAATTCAGCAAAATAACTTCAGATGGTTTTAATGTTGAATGGCAGTTTTCTGCTTGAATGAGTGCATGGGGAATATGTATAAGGCTGGATCTTCACTGGATCATTTAAAATTGCACAATGCTTTTGTAAGGGATTCTTTCACATTCTATCCACTACCTCATTTTTTGCAGCAGAACTTGGTGGGTGGGGAGGTGGTTATTCATGGCTTTTTTGTTGAGGGCATTCTCTTCTGTACTAAAAAACATCATAGGCCTCTTTTGCGAAAGAGAGGGAGTTAGTATTAACACTCCTAGCCCCAGCCAGTTGTTCTCAGCTGTAGCACCTTCTAAAGATTGCTGTGTTTTGAGGTAGGCTGGTTTGTTTTTTCAGCCTCTGGCTAAAAGTACAGGCAGTGAAGTATGTTTATCTTGTGAATTAGTTACAACGTGCAAGTACTGTACTAGCATACTCGCCAAGCTGGCCGAGTGATTATGGACTAACCTTAGGCAAAAGACCTCTTCCGTAACTAAGTTTTATTTACTGTAATTGCCATTTCTGAATCAGTCATTTAGATGTGCACTGAATTTTTATTTTTTTGATTCAAAATGTGTCTCTGAATATAGAGCAGTGTGATTAAGGTAACGACTACAGCATCCCTTTTCAAAGACTTTATTAAAACACCTTGTCTAACCACTATTTCAGGGAAATCACTTCTAATGAATAGGGCAAGACTCTCTAATCTATGCTATGTCATACCATCTGTGCTGCCACTGGTATGTGTCCACATTACCAAGGCACTGAATCCCAGCTAAAACAGTCTGCTGAGAAGCAGAGATTACTAGTGTGAGTTTAGTACCTCAACAAGCACAGTTACATGGATTTTAGTCTGTGTGGAGCACAAACAGAGAGAATTCATACATGGAGAACGCATGAAGCCCATTTTAGCCAGGATTAATTTGGGTAAATATACTATGTGGTCAGCTTTCCACAGCATTTGTTTTGAAGGGACTGCTTAACACACTCGTTAATTCCTAGTCTGATTTAATGTATGCTCTTTATCGTTTCTTTCCCCTGCAATACTGTATGGAGCTCTGATGTGCCTTGCATGTGTGCCACCCATGGCAGAAAGAAGGGTGAGAAGCTGTGCTAGGATGAGGAGAGCAGAACTGTTTCTTTCAGAAATACTGAGCTGGATAGATGGCTTTAATGGTAGTAAAGCCTGGCAACCTGATACTGAGAATAAACAAGAGTCTAATCGCAGTGCTGATTTACTGCAAATCTGTGATCATCCTAGTGACTTAAGTCCCTAAATTACCTATGTATCAAAGAGATAAAATGGGATCTGCAGTACCCAGCATCTTAAAAAAAGCAAAGTGAGCCAGTGAAAATGCTAGAGAAAGGTGCAATTTAATCTGAAACAGTTAATCTAATAAGCAAAGTAATATTAAACAAGTATTAAAACAAACCATGGTTCAGGTTGGAATTGTTTCTCTGCTTTCTTTAAGGTAAATAAAACAACAGCAACAAAAATCCTTAAGCTAACAAAAATCCTAAAGTTATTCTATCAAACGTGTTGCATGACTGGCATTGGTATACAAAATATTAGGAAGGAGAACGTAAAGATTTAGTTTATACTTTTGCACATTTTGAAACAAATTCATTTTTTTGTCAAAAGTCACAGTACCTTTTGCATGTTTTGCCTTTTTAACTTGTTGTACATGATGCTCAGTTTTGTTAATTTATGAAAACATAAGTAATTTGCTAGATATTTCCCAGTATTTGTAAATCTGCAATATAGGAACAATCCAAGCTACAAAACGCTATGTGCTCTACTGTTTTGAAGATGGCTTTAACAGTTTGTTTGTGAATTTCCATTTCCAGCACCTGGCCTCACTGGAATTGTTGGAGGGCGCCCCAGAGTGTAAGTTAATTCCTGATCATTAACTTGGTGTAATGTGTCATGGTAGTGTTCCTACCACTCGCCATCACAAGATTCCCCACCTTGAATCAGAAGCAACTGAAGTCTTTGCGTTGCACACTATGCTTAATAACTGATAACAAGATAACAGTGAGTGCTACGAGATGTGTATGTGCATGGTAAAATTCCTTATTGAATTCTTTAATATGAGTTATGTAAGTCTCTGATCAGCTCATAACAATGTCTTTGCTTAATGAGCTGTAGGGAGGACTTTAAATGTGACTTTATAGCAGGGCAATAGCTCAAGCATGTGCTAATACATGCAGATTACTGGACCAGATTTCTCTTGTATCTGTTAATTTGGAATATGGGCACAGCCTGTTTATGTCTGTACCAGCCCACTTCACCTAGAAATGTGAGGTCAAGTGTCCCAGAACGTCCCACAAAATGTTAGCATAAACCTATTATGTGAGCAAGCTGAACAGAATAATGTTGAGCATATTTTTAAAAAATCCTGGTTTGATTCAATATTTTTCTAGCTATGTCTCAAATCTGCAGGTAATTTATATGCTCACCTTTTCATACGTATTCTTAAGAGCATCTAAAACTTTCCTGTCCCTAAGCAAATACTTCGCTATGTCTGTCTTGCACACAGAGATGGGGGAAGAAACTGTATCTACATTTCCAGTAGCTCTGTGTAACTAGCCTAGGTATCAATGTGGGGCTAATCATAGTGCAATAGACTTCAATGTCATGAAGTGCCTAATTTTTTAAGACAGTATTTTTGCTATTTTGGCTAGTCACCTCCCAAAATTTTCTTTTCTTTTTTTTTTTTTAACAAAATCTTACTTTCTTAATAATGAAGTTTAAGGGATTTCTGCGCTTCTCAGGCTTTCCAAAATTGTTTGGAAAACGATTGTTAATCATAGCTAAATAGCTTTTAATTTCTCAAGTGTTTGTCTGGTGTATGAGTAGTCAAAAGATGTATGATCTGACGTTTTCGTTAATTTATGGTTAAATGCATTTATGCTTGTTGTTTTGTGTGTCTAGGTCTCCAGTTTTGAAGCCATTTTTCTTCTATTATCCCAAAAGCAGTGTGCAGGTAAGACTTACTGCTTAAAGCCTGCTCTGTTCTCTTTGAAGTAATTTGAAAAATTCTGCTGACTCTGGCATTTTTCAGTGACTTTGAGTCCTAAAACTGCAAAGTATTCTGGTAACTTTGATTAAAAAATATTTTCCCAGAGACTAATGTTATTCACACAGTGTTTTACAACAGTTGAACTTGCCAACCTTTCTTTTTAATTGCTGTGAATTTGAAATATCTTGCATCAAAACTGAACTGTTCTTTTCAGGTTCCTAGACTTGTAGGTTTGAATTCTTTTTACTGCATTTGCAAAGAGTGCATATGAGAACTACATGTTTTCTGAAAGTTAATGGTCTGTCTTTAAAGAGAAGGCAATTGGGTGTTCAGAGTCTTGAACATTTTGGGGGGCCATCTACTTTTTTTGTATATGGTAATAGTTATTTCCAGTAAAATCAGTAAATTTCCTCTGATTCACACAGGTTTTACCTTACTGGGCCTTTTCCTTCCAAATACCCTGTCTGTAAAAATGGGAGTAGTAATTTTTGCTCTTACCTATATTGCAAAAACTGTAAAATTATGAAAGCCTGTGAGACCTATTGAGATGAGTATCATGGAGAAGCCTGTGAATGAGATCTACCTCTGTGGCCCTATTTAGTTCATCACAGTAACTTCTTTCAGTCTGAGAAGTTACGGTTCAGACGACTAGGCAGTCCTATGTGAGAAATTACAGTGTAAGATGAAATGTCTTGCCAGAGCCCTACTTCTTCTCCATTATGCATGCACCTCTGGGTAGATTGAAATCTTGAAGATAAACTTGAAGAAACCGTTTTTACTGAAAATGTGGAATGTTTGGATTTATAAACATTGGTCTCTGCTTTTCTCAATGCCATTGGATACTTAATTTATCCTTTGGAGACTGCAGACAAAACCGCGTATATACCTTTCTTTTTCTAAGGATTTTAACTGACTTGTAGTTATTGCATCCATCTCACACCAAGGCATCCTAATAATGATGCTTCTCACTTGGTAAGAGCTTTCTCACTCATTCACTGTCAAGGAAGTGGCCGAAGGCCAGATTGTTGGTCTGTGCTAGACCACAAGCATTGTGACAGGCTTCTGCTTAGGGTGGTGAAGGGAAGCCTTAGGAGCACAGGCAGCAAGTGAAGCAGGGGGGAAACAAACAAATAAAACCCAATTTATTAAAAAAACAACTTTGTAAAACAATTATCAGTAATCAGCTTAAGCCTTTTAAGCATTTCAGAAAGGAACTGTTTCATTTTCTTTTTTAACAGGTATGCAATGCTTAGCATAAATAAGCCTAATGTTACATTTTTCTTTGAGTGGTAGTCTGCATTAGTGGGAAATAATTTAAGATCAATTTTACAGAGGAGATGCTATTTAGTTATTAAAACTAAATTTATAACTGTGCATAGTGGAAAAGCATTAACCCCCCCCCACCTTTCTTCTTGTTTAAAGAAGTTCAGGTACTTATTTTTTATTGTCACTTAACATTTTGCTTTATACAAATGGCTTGTCTTTGCCAAGTTTAATATGAAATTATTATCATTACAGAAGTTTAGCCTACCACTGTTTGTTCATCAAATTAAATGCAAACTTATTAATTAACACAGTGCTCCAGTCTTGGTAAAATGCTGTTGAGATTAAATCGTAACCTGATTTAGCAGGGGAAGAAAGCAGTGTCTCATCTACTCTTTTCAATCCAGAAAATCAAAATCTTTGTTCTACGTAACTAATCTGGTGAATGCACTGATATGCTATTAACACAATGCCATGTGACCTATCACTGTTGTGCTGCAGTAATATTAAAGGTTATGTAAAAGTATGGTGTGATTCAAGTCCTGGATTCCAAGTTTTAGCCACGTATTAACAACGTGGTCTAGCTAGAGATTACAGGGTAAGTAAGGTATGAATTAACTACTTTTCTAGACTGGAAGTTCAGTTACAAAGAGTCTAGCTGCTCTAGTTCAGCATTTGACCTAAACTCAAAAACACTCCGTAAGGAGATTTTCAGATATGTTAACATTGCCACAGTGGGTTCTTTTGTTTTGTGTTTGATAACACCTTTCTGAGTGTCAGTTTGGATTCAATATCTCATTTATTGTTTCCACTGCTCTTACACAATTGTCCCAATTGTATCTTGGATGACCAGTGGTTTTACAGTGCAAACAGTAGCTATTTTCCATATGTGCTTTTTCGTGTTGAAGAAGTAACCTAAAATTTTACCTAGGGAGAAAAATTCTAGCAAACCTACTGAAGGCAAGAACAGCTTTTCTGAAATACTTTTTAAAAATCTTCCTCTTGCCTAAGCATTGGAGGCCTTTATCACTATTAGCTATTCTCTAAGAACAATCTTAAGACAGAGGGCTAAGATGAGTAGAATTATCTTGCATTTGCTGGCAACCGATAACTGCTGCAGCTAAGTTGGTGTATGTTGTTTTGTTGTGGCAGTGCAACCTGGTTGTATGTCTGAGGCTAGTACTGGGAGTCCTCCAATGCAGACGAAATGGATGCAGTTGATATTCCTACATGAATATGCTATATGGAACCTTTGGTTACATTTTAAGTGAACAGCCTAATCAGCTAATGAAATCGTACACTTGACTACATGTATTTTTTCAGATTTCTTGAGCGGGTAGGGAGAGTTCATCATGCAAGATGAACAGCATTGCATTTTTTTATTTCATATTTTCATCTCAACATAAACCCCAAATATCCAATATTAATTTATTTTTCATACGTTGCTCTTACAAAACTTATTTGAAGATGAATTTAGGATCCAAAGAGAAGTTTGTCATTAATACGAACAGTGGCATTAATAAGAAAAGGGGGTTATATCATGGAAGAGCTGGAAGCTTTCAGGTTTTGGGATCCAGCTGTCAAGAGCTGTGATGCAAAATTCCATGTAGTGCTGCTGTATATAGAAAGAGAGAGATTTATCTTCCTTTAAAACATACCCAACTGGATAGAGCATTTCCTTTGATTTTTGTGCTTTTTTTTTCCCCCCATACAAAGATTTCTTTTAAGGATATAATGGACCATTATTCTTACTTTGACTTTTTAAGGGGGAGGGAGAGAACCTTATACATAAAGCTGTTACTGAAAATAAGCCAGATCAATACTTAATTAGAAATATGCTTTATTTATTCACACGTTGCACTGAATTTCTAATTTGACAATTTGAAAATGGTTATTTTTTCACAGACCAACCTATTTTTAAATGGACAGCATGTTGAGACATTTGAGGAGGATCTCACGTTTACATCAGATGAGGTTGTTTCGTTTGATCCACCTAAGATTAGCAGTGAATTGAAAGGTACGTTCATCTTTTTATTTGTGAATGTGTCATTTGCTGTCTTCATCCTGGAAAATCATGTGCTAGATTTTGTCCGTGAAATACATTTTACGTCTTTATGCTATACATTTTTAAGCCTGTTGGGAAACACTTAATCTATTTCCCTTGGAAGGCAGGAGGTTAGCATCACACAGTATCAAATGTGTTGGAGACTATAACAAGTATGTAAGCAAACTGTTATTCAAAAAAAACCCAAAGCCTTAGACACAACTGAAGACAGTTGAATGCTGGCTTGAAATTGAAACGTGCTTTCAGAGTGTACTGCAATCTTTGTTAATCCTGGAAATAGTTCGTTTTACCCTATATCAAAATAGTTGTGCTCAGAATGGAGGACAGACTTACAGAATGCTTAGCATTTAAATAATTAAAATTTAGCCCTATTCCGTACAGCAGCCTTCACAAAATGAACAAGAATGGGATCAACTTGGAACTGGTGACTTTTAAAGAAAACACACTAGGCTAATGATCCAGCATGGTCATTCCTGTGTTGCTGTTAGACTTGTCTAACCAAACTCTCTGAAGAAAGAAAAGAAACTTGAGAAGCGCAAACCAGTGAGCTGAATGGAGCAGATCAGGATGTCTGCAATGAAAAGGAAGTTGATTGGAGTTGTTCATACAAGCTAGGTACTAGGTTACGGATTATTGAAAGTGCTAGACATCTGAAAATTTTTATATTCTTCCTAATGGCAGAACTATATACAGTATTTCTTAACATGTAGCACACTTCATAATTCCCTTTTGGCCCAAACAGAATCTTTATTACCTTATTCCTGCTCACCAGAGAAATGAGAGGATTAATTTAAAGCTGTGGATAGATATTTTCAAATCTAAATCAGGTGACTGTACTTAAAAATTACTTGTTAGAAATAATTCTAAAAATAATACTAATGCTGAAAGAGTAATTCAGGTATTCAAGTCCTGTATACTCAAAAAATTAAAGCTATGAAGGCACCAATATGTTAAAATTTAATCTGGATTCCAGGTATAGGTGAGTAGTATTTCTCAAAACTAGTAACAGGATAGTATAACAGCTAATTATAAGTTAGTAGGGAATGTTCTGTATTGCGTAGAGAAGTTTTGAAATACACATGTAACTGTGTCTGTTGCTGTTTGAAAGTCACTGATACTGGATGCCTGACTGCCATGCATGAGTTCATTTTCCCCATCTATTCAAATATCTCTTCAATGTCTTGATTTATGTGTTGCACAGAAACAAGTTAAACTGTTAAGTATGTTTTCAGCTCTTATGTGTGCTGCAAATCTAATGTCATAGCAGAATCTCTCTGACACCTGGGAGTTTCAGGGAGTGCAGTGGGGGATTCACACTGTCAGACTGGGTGAGCTAAGGAATAGGAAGTAATTGTTCTGTTTACTGAAGGGGTTAGCAAAGGTCCTGGTATTTTTTTTTTTCCCAAGGTGATTGAAGTGCTAAATATTGGAGAAACAAAAAGCTGTTAGACTCCCTGTTGCATTCTTATAGTTTGAGAAAACTTTCTGAGGTGCCTGATATCAACATTTAAGTACTGAATTCTTCAGGCTTTATTCAGGCAAAGCTCTACTTTTGAGGGACAGCAGAGCTCCTCTGTTTGTTTCCCCTGGGAACAATCTCTCAAACTTTTGCCCTTAGCTGTAAATAGAATGTTTTCTGTATGTGACTAAATACTTACCTACTTCTGTAGACATGGACAACATGGATGAGAAATAGGCAAATTACACTGTAAAAGGAGTAACTTCTGCTAAAACATCTTCTGTCAGCATTTAGCAAGGAGGGAAGTATTTTCTTAGTTTTATGGTTATCTCAAGTGTGCGGGACTGTTAGTTGTCTTTGAATAGATAAGAGAAATATGCGAAAATGGATTTCAAAAATGCTGCTAGATGTGGTTCTGGGAGGATGGAATTTGCATCTACCATTTGCCCTAGCTTTGAAGGGGATTCTTTTGTATATTTAAGATGTTTATTAAATGAAAACAATTTCCTGATAAACAAATCATGAAGGATAGATCAATTAGGGTAATAATAAATGAGAACACCAGCACAGTCTTGAACTGGTTTTGTTTAAAGGGAGACTGTCAAGGACTGTCTGTGTAAAATGTTGTCTGATGGAGAAGACTTCTTAAAGAGTTTAAATATTGTTATACATCAACCTTTGAAGAAACACCACTTTTTTTTTCCCTTGAATTGTGTATGGAATAAAATTATAAAAAGTAAGCCAATGTCTGTGTTGTATGAAATGTGGTAGTCTTATCCAAAACAATGAGCTTGAGGTGAACTTTGTCAGATCTTCTCTCAATGGAGATGCTTAATCAAAAAATAATATCCCCCAATGAAATAAATACACGCTTTAATCTTTTCTGCTGAGGTTCATGGCACACTCCTGCTTGCATTTTTCGTGGAAGTGAACACAGAAAAGACTGTGAGCATCAGGCTCAAAACGAACATCCTCTGTTGACTCTTTCACTGTATGCTTTCACCATTTCAAATTTCATGCTACCATGACTTATTACCAGTGAAGGACTGTTGTGCCAGTCTAAGCTATAATCGCTCTTTCAGGTTGCTGTCAAAGATGAGCTGATACATGTTTATAAAATTCAAGTCTTAATTAAAGCATTTTAACATTGATACGTTGTTGTCTGGGGTGTGGGTAGATGTTCTCTTTCTGATCCAGCTGTGCCAGTAGGAGAGGTTGCTGTGGTGAGCCCCCACGTTTGTTAGTTTTCCCTGTTATTGCCATGCAGATGTGCCAGCAAAGCTACTCTTGTAAGTGTTGCCTGATCTGTTTCAACCAAATAAATACCATGAACTAAGATACACTATACAAATTAAGTGTCACGTTGTAGTGAGGCATTTTTGACATCCACAGTATCTCTCACCCTATACCCAAATGAACTGTTGGATTCTGTCCAGCTGCCCCTGCCACAGACTTGCAGCCTCCCTTTCCAATAGGGACAGTGAAAACTGCAGCCGGTAGGACTTGGGCATAGTTTCTCTCTTTTGCTAAAGCTCTTTAGGTCAGCCTGGCTCATGTCTGAGGAGTCAGCAATTCTGTGTGGGCAGGAAGGAGTTGAAGGGAATGACTATTTGGCTAGGACTGGGTTTACCCAGTCACCTGACAGTTACAGAGTGCATATCTATCCATGCCTTAATAGTAGGTGCATTTTAATTTAAATAATTCTCGAACTTACTACAGTGTTAATTTTGTTTTTAAGTATAACTTAAACATTGTGTCTTGAGGGTGAATGTAAGTTGGTGTAGTTACACTTCTTAATACAGTCTGCCTTTGGCCAGCATTTAGAGCATAACATCTTTAGTACTGTGTCTTTTACTTCCTAAAATTAAAATCAAAACCACAGAAACACCACAATAGTTTGATATCCTCAGCAGAAGCAGTAACAATACAGGAAAGATAGACTGATGTGTTTTCAAATTGCATTGTATTTTGCAGCATGAAGTTTGTCCAACATAATTGATTTGCAAGACTCTCTTCAATTCCTTTAAATTTGACAGTTTTTAACACATTAGATTTGAAATTTTCTGTGGCAAGTATGTGCCCAGGGCTGAGTTGTTTGGTGTTTTGTTTGGTTGTTTTTTTTTTTTTTAAAGGAAAAAAAAATTTGGACATCTGTTGGTTGCTTGTGGTGGCTGCTGCCAGCAGTTGTGACAGAAAGCAGTGGAGGAAGGCTCGTGCTTCCCCGCTTGGAATGTTCTCCCTGCTGGTGTCCAAGGAGCAGGGCGGGGAGAGCTGCCACTTGAGTGCAGAAGGATGAGAAAATTACAGGAAGGGGACAGAGGAGGGGGTAACTGAGGGGTGAGAAGTCTACCTTGAGTCAGGAGCCTAGATGAGTCTGTTAGAGATGCTGGGACTGAAAAGCTAGGGATGCTGGGAGAGCTGATATGGCCATAGGGAAGTTGGATCAGAAGCAAAACTGGCTGGAAATTACTAGATTCTCACTGCCTAAAAACTGGGATATAACCTATGCTTCAAGTTTCAGTATTATGCTGCTGTCAGCAAATAACTGAAACTCAGTGTCAAAGTGAGTGCTTCGCCTCTCACTTTGGGGAACAGAAACTAGGTGGTGACAGCCTACTACTCTTGGTAATCAACCATTGCCAGAGATCTGTGCTGTGTAACTTAACTGTCAACCTCACGTATAAACTGTGTGGATCCCACAAGATTGAATTTCTGGATTTGGGCCAGAGTGGGTTTGCTTTTTTTGCCATGTAGGTGGATAAAAATAATAAGAACTTTGTTCATGAAGTGCAACAATCATTATGTTCCTAAAGGCTTGAAAGTCCAATACTCAGACATGGACAAGTTAAAAAATTAGGATTGGCTTCCTATAGAGCATGCATTTATGACCATTTATGAACTTTACTTGTATAATACTAAGATATTTACAAAATTAGTAATTTGAAAAAGAAATCTTGGATTTCTTCTATGCAGCTGAATAAGTAACTTAGTGCGTATGAAAGTGAGACACACATGTTGTCTTGAAAAAGGATGTTAAATTGTGACTGTTTTCTATAGACATGATCAGAATAAACAGACATTACAGAATTACCAGGACAGTAGCAACTACATGTATTTTCCACCTGCACTGGAAGCAGAGACACCTGTGTGTTAAAGGAACAAAAGTTGTCAGCTAGTCAAGAAATGACAAGTAGCTGCTATGCCTCCTTCAGAGATACCATATTGCTAAGACCAAGATTAATTTTCATATTCAAGAGTGGTGGAAGAGGGGATGCCTGGCACAGCATTCAGCTGTAAAAAGGTAAATGGGATTTGGGAGATGGAGCAGGAGACATCAATTTTGTAATTTTGGCCCCCAGCCTCACCTCTTGTTCCCTAAGTGTTCCTGTGGTGAGAAAGCTTTAGAAATGTTTTCAGGAGCACTATAATCAATGCAGAAAGTATACACTTAGAATTACAGTTACTTCTTTAAAATGTACTATTATTTGTAGCTGCCATTAAAATGTGTTCATTTTTATACTGTATAGATCTGCCAAGTGGTCCACATACTTATCGCTTGGAAGATCTTGCCTATACTAGAAGTGGAGACAAAGGCAACTCTGCAAACATAGGTATTTTTCTTTTTCTTGCTTTCTGAAGTGATGTAAAATTTTCACATAAGAGTTACATATCAAATGCTCTTCTTAATTTTCTTTTACATTTCTCACAACACTTGATTTTGTTTTTTTAATTGTGTCTGTGCTGAAAGAAAAAATAATCCATGTAAAACAAGGATTTCACTAATGAAGTATCTGTAGTTTTCTGTTTAGCAGCTGTTGAAATCTGAGGTACTACGAGAAGATACTTGCATGTCATACTATAAAGAAAGATCTTTGTTTAGGGTTGCAAAGTTGAGCTCTCCAAAGTTAAGAAATGCCTTTTTTAAGGTTCCTTTACTCATTAGTAGCTACTCCTTCCTGTGTATGTGTTGTCTGATTATGTATAATATTTCCATACATGGATTTTGTAACATGTATATGGCTAAAATATTGGCAATGTTAGGAAATACCAAAGCTGTTCTTGCATGTAAGAGAATGTTTTTATTATATTGTTAGTCCAAATGGTGTATTTCGGTGTGCAGTCTCTTTACATTGATTGTGCTGCTTCTTGCATTGTTTAATGACTCCTTCTATTCCTTACTTCTGCATGCAACAATTGGCTCTCTTGTTGGAAGATGAGAGCGTGTGGTGTTCAAAGCTCAGTATGAATTAAAGGTGCGTTTGGGATTTGATTTGCTATTAGCTGTCATGCTAAAACTGATGAATTTTTATTTAGGAATATAGCATTCTTGTCCTTGTTTGTGAAACTGTTTTTTGTGTTGAAGAATGAAGGAATGTTGATTTCTTTTTTCTTTTTTCTTTTTTTTTTTTCTTTCCCCATGGTTAACCATGGTTGCAATGTAGCATTGCCAAATCATGAATGATGCATGGCTAATAGACCTCCTCAGATATAAAGACACCACTGCTTTATTAAGGAACAACAAGAACAACAAAAAACCTGACCTCTAAGATTAGTTTAGCTTTGAAGTCCACAGATAAAAAGATCCCTGTGACACAGATCTGCTTTCCTGATCCTGCTGTGGAACCTCAGCTTCAGCATAAAGTTACCTGAAGCTTATGAAAGCATATTTACAGCAATAAAAATGTAATTGTGATTTTTCACACATCAGGATCTCATGCAAAGAGTGGGGCAAGGACCTTCAGTCACCGATTGTGCCTTGTTATGGTTAATTGTGATTACTTGTCTGTCTTGCAAACCATTTAGGGGAAGAGAACTGCCCGTGCGTTGTTTGTTGTGATGACGATGATGTTGTTCTTTAGGTGTCTTTCAGTGACAGGGACTGTTTGCATCCAGAAAAAGACCAATAATTACTTCATCTGGGAGCGTTCTTTCATGTCATGCTCCACGTTGCCTCTACTGACAGAGGGAAAGCTGTCATGCTATTGTTTTTTATTCAGGACCTCATTAAAGAGGTGGTGGTGTTTAACCACCGACCATATGTACCGGGGATCCATTGTACAGTTTCAGTTAAGAGCAGGATCTCAAATTGGTTTTGAAAGGATAAATACAAATTGGTTTTAACAGCTCCTATTCCAACTAACAGCAGTTAATACCTAACAGGTGTGATAGCACGGCATCCCCTCTACTATCCATACCTAAAGAAAACTTTAACTGCTCAAGCCCTGGAGGATTACTTCCAACACCTTTTAGAGCAAGAAAAACCTGAAGAAGAACTAGTAACAAGGTGAGTACCTGGGTGCTTGGTCCACAGTTGTACACTAGATACGTGATGATACCAGAAGTTATCTCAAAGTATGTTAACATAAATATTGCAAAGCTGTGTGTTTTGTCTTCAATATTTTTTATCTATCTTTCTTTGCCTTTTTAAATAACAGCTTGAGCAATAGTCACTGAAAAAGAACATGAACTTGGGCCTCTCCTGAAGCTGGACAAAGGCAGTGAAGGCCTTCTATTTAGTGAAGGCATTTAAATTCCCAGAATTAGCTTATTAGTGTTGGGGCTATTTCTTTGTTTTGCTCCAGTACAGAATGTCTACAACATAGAAATAACTTCTAATGTCCTTTGAGAAATGTATTTTTCCATTGTTTTCTGAACCATTTGGAGACTGCAGGAGCCTTAGTAACTGAAGCTTCCCAAGCCTCAGAGAAGCTGCAAAACTGGGAGTTTGAAATCCCTAAACCACCTGGAGGACATTCACACAGCCCACTCACTGGAGCCCAAGCTTACCTGATCATCCATCAGAAACATGCCTCATCTTACCCCTATTTCTGCAAAGCATTTTTATCTTTATGAAGTTCACTCACTTTAGAGAAAGTATTCCTTCGAGTACCCCACTCTCACAGACTTTCTTGCCATATATACCAAGCCAGAATTAAAGAAAAAAAGACAGCTGATTTCCCTTTTTAAAATATGAAAGAGAATATATCTTAAGCAGGACACTTTTACCTGGTATTCATCTACAAAAGAATATCCTCTGGCAGCAGACAGCATACCTAACGTATTTGTTTTCATGGTACTTTGGCTGATGCTCAGGGTCCTTCTGGGGGACTGGCAGATGAGACGTACTGTTCTTGTAGCAGGAGGTAATAGGGCTCATTCTCTGAAGGATGTCCAATAAAACAGTCAACAGACTTTAAACCTTTGTCTCTCTTTAAGAACAACAGCAGCATAATATTGCAACAAACCCTTCAGTCTTCTAAAACCTGTTTTGATACCAAGTCAATTATACTGCAAATATGGAGATTCTGCCAAAACATTATATGTTTCCCTGGGTGATGGATAAACTGTTAAGTGTCTTCTTGCTTGTTCAAAGAACTTGAGTCAGAAGGGTGCAGCTCAAAGAGAGTTGGAGGTATTTTAACCCCTGATCTTTGAGTTGTAAGGGCTGTTCTTTGTCTTCATAAGCAGCTCAGTGCAGATCTCACACACTGTTTCATAAGTGCCAACAAATCTGTTTATCTAATAAATTGTGATACCAGGAGATGTAATTGAATTTCCTCCAAAACAGAGCAGAGAAGGGAAGAAATCAAAAATGTCATGCCTCCTAATGATACTTCTAGAAATTGATTCATTGTCATTCCTTAACACTGTTTATGTTCATAAATAAAAGTTGAAATTTGCAGTGTCTGGATGAAGCCAATTTATTTTGATTAATTAGATTATCTGTTCCTGGGTTTGGCTTCCTTTAATGATGTGATAATGGACCTCTGTGAGTGAATTGAAAAACTACTGGGGAAAAAGAATAAATCCTTTTGTGGAAATATTTAGGATTATAAGGATTATGCTCATGTGCTTCAGATTGTGTAGTTTCCTTTTAAATTACTTGTTTATTTTTTAGTTTTAACTGTCATAAAAAGAGCTGTCTTTCTTAATTTTCCTTCATTTCCTTCATTTCAGTTAAGGTGGTTAAAAAATATGTATTAGTTTTGCTACTGAAAACATACAAACCGTGGCTCTGCCTCACTACAGAACAAGAGACTGTTGGCCAGTTGCCTTTCATTCTTTTCTATTAAAGCTATTAAATAGGCTTACTAAACAGAGAAAAGGTGGGATTATTTTGGTAGAGAAAAACTGAAAACTCAAACTTCCAGATTTTCAGGTAACATAGTAACAAAAGATGGCCTCTATGGAGGTAATACTAGGTTATCTGTGGAGCGTTTTGTATACAAAAGTATAAGTTGAGATCTGATAATCTTAGATAATGGAGTAAGAAACTTTGCATTTTGTGGTATTAGGTCAGTCATTTAAGAAGTAGAGTAAAATTTTATGCTCTGAGAATTTGCTGGTTTCATACTCTGAAATACGGTTATCTTTATATTTTGAGGGCATTCCAATGCTCAGAAATAAAAATATGACAGCTGATTTCTTCTAATGGGGTATTTTTACTAAGAGCTGGAGAACAAGAAATGTGGATAGTGATGCTTCTAGATTGCTTTTTTGTATGTATTTTTTTCCCCACCATAATAAATATACATCTTGTATACCTCATATGCAAAAACACCTCTTTAAGCCTATGGATTCAGTTTCTGCTTTCCTCTGATGGGAGAAATCTTTTTCTTAATTTAAATGCATTAAATAATTTTTGTACCATCATTATTTCCATGCATTTTAACAGGAAATTCACAGAGAAACCTGACTTCTTTGAATATGTACAGACAGCACTCTAAAGGAAGTAGTTAAGCAGGCACCCCATTGTGCATAAGCATAGAAGATCAGCTAGAACAGTGAATTTTCCTTGTTTTATTGGTTTCTGTCACAGACTTAGTATTCTTTGAAGGGTTTATTTGTTTTCTGTGCTTTTTAAAAGCAGCTCTTAAAACTTTTGATAAATGGTACAATTAGTTGATATTTTTTCTTCCTTTAGATCGCAGTTAATAAAGCTTAAATTGTTTAATCATGGTGGGTAAATGCATGCCAACATTTTAGTTAACGTATTGTTGCGGCTTAAGACTATTATGATGGTTATAGTGGTTTTTCTTACTGTGGGAGTGTATTTTTTGTGTGGAAATATTTTGGATACTCAGATGCTTCAAACAGGCCTTAAAATACTGAAAATGCTGACCTTTGTATATTATTTTGTAATCTTAGTTTTAGCTAGAGTATCTCACTGTATTTCCTCAGAGTACTTGAAGTGAACGTGCCATTCTGTAATGTTCCAAATTAAGATCTGTTGCTTGTATTACATACTCCCTCTGCCAGAATTACTGCAGAAAGTGAAATTAAATTCCTCTATTCTTTTTGACATTTGCTTCTGCTTTTGTATGCTTTTCAGTTTCTCTCCTGATTTGTTTAAATGATTGATTTTCATGAAACTTCTTTTGAGAGCTGAGGTATTAGCTTCTGGAATACATATTCCGTTAGCCTAGTTCTTGTGGAGAGATCTGCCAATTGTGAAATCGCTTGTTGCCTGGAAGTCTTTGCCAGTTTTTCAGAGTAAAATTTACAGTGTAGTGTTTTGGTAGACCTCTAGCTCTCATGGTATATGGTTACTGGTAATCTGTATCGCATTTTTTAGTTGGAAATTTTGTGGGGTCCTCTGATCCTTCTATGTAGTTGATTATGCTAGTAAATTTAGTAAATTATGTAGATGACTTATTGTGGAAATTGCTTTATTCTTCACATTGCTGTTGTCTAGTAGGGCACTGTTGGATTAATCAAACTTTTCTGCCTTCCTAATGGATTTGCATTTAAGTGTCATAATGCTGCCTGGCATATAGTTTTCAAGGAAACCACAAGATGATCACATCATCTTCCATGAAATGTTTGGGTCATCTCCCCAAGGTACAACGTCATACAGAGCTATGAATATCAGCAACACAATGATAATTTTCACAGTTATGAAAAAGATAAACCTTGTGACAAAAGCGAGTGACAAAATCAGCAGTACAAGAGCACTGCAAGAAATCCCAGCTCTTTCAGAGGGCAGACTTGAAGAATCTGACCCAAACAGATGAAGATCACTAAAGAAAAAGTCATCACTGAAGATGACTAAAGAAATAATAGGTGGTGTTGGAGGAGCATGATTTAAATTGCAGCAGTCAAACATCTGGAGACAGAGCAAGAATTGGATGTCATCTTTCTCTGTTATTCCTCATGTCTTGCTGATGTTCTGATTAAATCCTTTCCGATGGAAAAAAAGGAAAGCTATGAAGTACTCAGACAAAATATTGGAGGCAAGCAAAAACAAAGAAAAACAGGAAGACTACAAGGAAGATGTCAAAACACTGAAAAACTGTGCAAGGAGAGGCAAATGGAAATATGCTATAGACCTATTTATGGAATTTGAAACAACTTTGTGAGGAAACCACAGAGCCATTTGCCAAACTTCTATAAAAGTTTCCAAATTGGAACTGTACCAGTCAAAAGCAAGGATGGAAAAATGCTTACAGTGGCAATGGAACAGAAAAATAGGTCTATCACACTAAAATAAAATTTTATCTGAACAAAGTACATGCCTCCAAGAAAGCGTTGAAATATAGCTCTACTTTTAATTTGTTATAAAATTATCTGTAGCTGGTTGTAAGAGTTTGATCTAGTGACTCATAGTTATTTCTTAGTAATAAAGAGGATGCCTTCCCAATTAGCTGGCAGCCTTTGTTAGCAAAAGTGAGTTCCAGGAATTAAGCGACTGTATTTTTCAGTATCGGAACTAGAATAAGAATTAAGAATACTTCCTTCTGCCCACTGTGTTGTCTGACTTCATATCTTGAACGTCTTGCCTACAGAGCTTTCTATATGGGCTTTAACTCTTACGGAGAAAAAGAAAAGGTAGAAAACGACCTCGTTACAAATGGATTAGTTTTGAAGTTTAATAATAGGAGAATGATTACTTTATGGTCCTCCTTTAAAACTATTAAGGACTGTTGATTTGGAGAAAGAAGAAGGAACAAGAAGGCAAGGAAGGCCATGGGTTAGTCTTCAGTTAGCTTTTGGGCTTGACTCAGCAGTGGGGGATGCCATCACAAGCAAGAAGATTTTGCACACTGTCTTTTGTTTGGTGTTCTGTACAAGTGTTTCAAATCTCGTGAGAAACTATGTGTAGATTTTACTTTACAGATACGAGTTGCCAGGGATCCATGGATTAAATTTTGTTCTGAAGAATTCTCTTGGTGGTGGTGGCATAGCATCCCTAAGAAGTGACCCACAGGCATGTATCAAAGTATTGATTTTAATGCGGTTATCTTTTATAACCATGTACTACACAGTCTCTTTATAACCAGCTTTTGGGCTGGATCTGTAAGGTTTTGGCTTTGACTCTTTAGTTCCTTTCAATTTCCTGTTAATATACATTATCTACTTAATTGTTTTAAGTTTGAAAACAACATAGGGAAGGAGAAAGTTGATTTAGAATACTTGGTGAAAAGGATGTGTATAAGAAACTATGAAAAGAGTCTTCAAATCGGTTATGCTCTTTATGATGTTCTATGTGTGTTTTTAGATGCACCAGCAAAATAGCTTCTCAAAAAGGCTGTCACATTTTGGAGAATGCAAATTTACTAGACAATTGTGATTAAGTGTTGCCTTGTATATACAGGAACCATTAACTGTATGACAACTCCTCTAGCCTAGCCTGTGACTTCTATCGTTAAAATACTGGTAATTAATACAAATCTAAAAGAGAAAAATAGTTGGATAGGAGATCTTTATGTTGATCACATTATGTGAATCTGAAACTAACATTTGTTAGTGTACAGTTTGAGTATTAAATATTTGAATCATCTAAACCTGAAGATGAGATCCCTTAATGTGGTAATCCTATGGCTACAGCAAAGCACAGTTCTGCCACTGTAGCTGAAAAATGCTTACGTGTACAAATAATCTCAGCATAGTCAAAAAGAGTGTTCACAAAATAAGATTATGCTATGTATGAGTTGGATAGCAGAATCGAACAAAAATCGATTTTAACACTAGGTAGCAAATAAAATGAAGAAACTGTTCAATCTATTCAGTGTTAGACGCTTGAAAACTCAACTGTGTAGTTTTCCTTCCTTAATTATATTGAGTCACAAGTGAGCCAAATAAATGGAAAAGGTAAATATAACTTTGGATAATGTACAATCCAAGGTTTGATAAAAGTCACCCAAAATTTTTATATAAGTATATGTAGAGATAAATACTCATAAAACTTACAAACCATACTGAATTCTTACACTAATTATAGGAAAAATACACTATTAAACCATTTTTTAAAACTTTTTTTACAAAGGTGGTATTTTACTCTATTTACTATTTATTTAGACAGTAAAAGGAAATGTTGGTTTGTTTTTTTTCTTACAGGGCAAAGCACTTGGACAGATGCTGTTGGATTTCCAGATTAAAAATGTTCCTGATTTAAAATCATTGATAGAGTAACAGGTGTTTAATACATACACTTTTAACACTGAGTGGCATAAAAACATGCTACAAACAAGAACTGGCTTCTTGAGTGAGATTTTTTTTTTTTTAAGTTGACGAGTAGAAATTAGTGATAGTTATCTCTCAGAGGCTTAGCTATACAGCACAGATCAGCACATGTTTTGGGTAATACCAAACTAATAGCTTTGTCTGTGACTGATAACATTTCCTGTCTAGATGATACATTGGATGAAGAATTAATTTATTTCCTGTAAAATAGAATTAATCAAATTGCAACATAACATTTAATTATGAGACAAGATAATCTTTGTTCTAAGATGGAAATTACCTCCTGTTCAGATCATCTCTCTTTTCCTTCTCTCAATCTTTTATTTGAAAATTAAATGGACAGATGTAAGTTGAGTTCCTGTCAGCTGTGTTTGTCCTGTGCATAGACCGAGGCTGGGTAACCTGCTGTGCATTGCTATGAAGTCAGCACTGTCTAGTACTGGGGAACAGCTTTCCCCGTTGGGCAATAAAGTAATAACTGTTACTGTTACAGAGTGACTGGTAGTAAAAGCTGACCTTTAGTGGTGATCCACCAAACTTCCAGCACTTTGTCCAATTAAGGACAGACTGTATTATTACAATTTCCAGCATCTCTTACTAATTAAGCCATCAGCTGAAAGCACTGACTAGTAGTAAATCGCAGATCTTGGCGTGGGAATAAAGTTGAAGATGAGGACAGGAGAGAGTGCTGTGAGCTAGTCCCCCCGCTCACTCCCTCTCGCGATGCTGCAGCCCTGACAGGGAGGAAGGGGGACCGGGCAGTGGAGGGGTACCTCATATTTTTTTCAGAGCTCTTAAGTTCTTGTTTTGTGCAGCCAAAGCCCGCCTGGATTAAGTTCATTTGACTGTCATTTGCACTGTCCTTCCTTCCACAGAAAGGTCTGTCTCCTGCTGTGAAGGAATACCATGTTGAATGCAGTGTGCTCCATGTCTCTTCTGACTTCCAGTAACCACCTCCCCATCTCACTTTCTCCATCCATCCTTCTTTCTTCCTGCAAAATATGACTAGCATGTTCAAATTAGGATACTCCTAAACTTCTTCACCTGATTAAGCAGAGACCTAAAAGTCCGTATCAATCTTTTCCTTTATTTTGGGAAGACTGTATTAATTGTTTAGTGCTGACATAATGAGATATTACTAATACCAGATAAAATGATGAAAATAGGTCTTTTGTAATCCTTGCTAATGAGGACTATAACAATGAATTGTTCCCACCTCTTCTGTGGTTTTGTTCATTGGAATTGAAGGTATCATAAGTGAATGCTTTATCCATCTAAACATGTCATTCTGTTAGTGAGTCGTAAGAGCTACTTGTGTATACAGCATGGTTCAGTCTAGTTGTCAAAAATGAGTAATCACTTTATTGCAGAAAAATAACCAACTTCGTATCTTTAAAGGGAAAATGGCATGCTGTTTTTATTATGTTTACAGACATCGTTTGTTAGAAAACTGTTGTTAGTAATTTGGAAGCCTATTAGTCTAAAAAAAAAAATACACAAAGGTATAGAGAGGAAATGAAAAAGTGATAGACTTCAGTAGCAAACCTACAAGGATAAAAAGGCTACAGTAAATATTTGCATTTCACTTAATATGCTGCTTAAGTGACTCCGTAAATGTGTATGCAATAATTTTTGAATAAAAGTGAACATTTATAAAGTGTAAATTTGTTTTAGTCATTTATGTTGTTTCTTCTACTGGAAGGGAGTGATACTTAGTTCAAAGGTTCTTTGTTTTGGGATGTTTTTTCTTGCCTGCAATTTCCTGCATTGTCTTGCTGGTTCCCTCCTTCCTTTAGATTTTGTCTGTTTTGTCCCTAGTCTTTGTTAAATACAAAAACTGAAAAAGTAAACGAATCTATTTTCTAGAGAGCTGGTCATTTACAGCTCTGCAGTCGAAACTGTAATTTGCTGAAAAGAATGGTACAGTGTTCGAATGGGTTGGATATGGGAATACAAAGGTGTTGTTTTTAACCTCCGGAATTGCCTTTTTGGATGCTATGAAACCTTTCCTCACAAACATGTTTTCTGTTTCTTTCCGTGCACCAGCTTAAAGCGAGTAGCAATGTTCTCAGATGTTTTCCTTGCAAATTAAGGCCTCCAAAAATCCCTATCCAAAGATTTTATTCTCCTTGACCTCCTTAACGTGTTTTGAATTCATGAACCTGTACTTGCTCCAGCAGTCTCAGCTGACCTGAAAGCTTGTTAAAGCTGCATTTGTTTCTTTATCTACAGTAGAGATTGAGTAACTGAGAAAAGTTTGGTAAAACCTAAATTGTACTCAAAGGTGAGCATGTATGCAGTCAGCATTCAGTCAGTTAACAAGCAGGCAAAACGCATTTGTGTTAAAACAGGTCTGTTCCTCATATAGGCAAGAACTTACCCTTCCAATTGCCGTTCTTTTCTTTTTCCCTGTTGTGTTAAGCTGTGAGAGCAGGATGGAAATAGTAACGCCTAGCATATAAAATAAGGTTCCATGTAATGTACACGAGCTTCAGTGTAGTGGAAACTGGATTGTGCCTTTTACCTGTGAAGTTTTTGTGACATGGCTCATTGGCACTACCAAACGAAGGCTGCATTCTTTTTTTTACTGCATCTTACATAACTCCTAAAGGGGTTTATCATGAAATTATTCTATAGCAGCCAACAGTCCAAACAAAACATTGTCAGTGTTTGCTGACAATGTTTAACATTTCATAGTGATTTTCCCATTGCAATTTCTGTATTAAACTACAAAAGTTACTATAACAAATGTGACCCAAGATAAAGAATATGCCAGAGTCTTAGTTGGAGGCACAAAGTATATTTTCAGTTTAGCCATCTCCGATGAGGCCATTGTCCCACTAAAATACGTTGGGTTTTCTTCCCCTTCAGAGCAGAGGAAAAATAATTGTAAGTATACCTTTTAAATTTTGGTTTCGTCATGGCAGTTGGAAAGTAATAGGAGTGCAGCCCTTAAGGTGTGAAAGCAGAAAACGTTGTGTTGCAGGTTGCCTTTCAAGGATCTGAATGGTCTTGTTCAGAAATGACTTGGATACGTCGCATTAAGTGCTTTGCACACAGTAACACAGCAGCTGCAAGGCAGTGGCGAAGCGTCGCCTGGGTGGTGGATTTCTCTTGCTGCAGCTGGGTACGCGTGTTAGCTGGAGGAGCAACGCCGTTTCTCGGATCTATCTGCTTTGGTTGGGGTTGGGGTTTCCAGACCTGAGAGTGAGCAAGTGGTTTTGGGAGGAGGGGGAGAGGAGGCTCCTTAGTGCCTCAGGTATGAGGAAATGACACTGCAGAAATGCCCCACCTCTCCCCTTACTTCTTTGAAACCCTCCCATGCAGTAAGACACTGAGCCTCCTCATCGCAATTCCTCTTCTTCGGTTTCATCCTGGTTTCCTTTCTGGCTTTACTTGAAATGGAGCCTGCTGCTTTTGGGATTAAAGCTAACTGGCATTAAGAAAGCAAACAAAGGATGCCTCCAAGTAAAAGATCCCGTTGGGAAATGTCTCTTTCTGCCAGGGAGCCCAGCTGAATTCCCCTGCCTCCCTTTGGGCAGGGGAGAGAAACCTGAACTGGGGGCTGAAGCATCTCCAACACAGACTTCAACAAAGACCAGCTTTGGGGAGGGGGGGTCCTGAGATGGCAGCACAGAGCAGGACCAGTGCTTATCTGCGCAGGGCAATGGCGACGGGAACCTTTCTGTGCCAGGACTTTCTGCAGGGTCTTTGATAACCACCTGGCTGTGGTACAGTGCTCCAGCTCTGGACCAGACACTGTGACCATCGCCAAACGGGTGAGACCCTTTATCATGATCAGGGATTTTAATCTTTTATTTTTCCCCTGTCCCTTAAAATAATGCACAACTTAAAAATGAGGAAAGTTCCCCTGCCTCCCCCCTTTTTTTATTTACTAGCATGTGTAAGCAAAAGCTTCAAACCTTCCAAATAGACTTTAATGGCTGGGTTTGATGAGATATTGTTTTAATTAGCCATCAGCCACACATAATTGTATAATCCACAGGGTTCCTACCAGCATCACGAGCCACATCTATAGGGTATTTTCTCTTTTGTAAGTGATGTGATTTGAGGTAGGGGGCTTGAAAGGGCTAAGCCTCTGTTGCGTAAAAATTTGGCTGAGACTCTCCAGAGAAAATCCCAAATGCCTGATCACTCTGCTAAGAGGTGCTGGGGCTCTGGCTTGTAACCAGGGACCAAAGAAGAGGTTACTGTGGGCTTCTCTCTGCATACGAAGCCAGGTGAGGATAATCTTTGGTTCCCTGGGAAGGTGCTCCCTGCTCCAAGCAGGAGGAGATAGGAGGGGGGAACACTTCTCGCTGGCGAGCAGTGAGGTAACCCGCTGCCCTGGAATATTCTCTTCAGTGAGGGTGGGAAACTTGCTGTGGCTCGCTGCTAAGCCTCATCTTTCCTGTGCCCGAGATCCTGCCTGAGGCTTGGTTCAGCATCCGCGGTGCCAGGAGGCTCTCACCTCCTTCACACCCCTGTTGCCATTCCATCCGTGCCAGAGCTGTTCCCCGATGGAAAGAAAAAGGATGGTGAACCTTTTCTCTTTTTGCTGCTGTGACCGAAGGGGTCCTACACCTCCAGTTCTAGTGAGCTCATCTTTAGTCCGTGGGCTCTCAGATTTAAAGTGACTGAAGAGGGAAAAGTAACTTGCTGTTCCAACAGGGTTTGCTTGCGGAGCCAAGCTGTTACACACTAGCGCTCCTTCTTGCTTCCCTTTTTTGTGCTTGGCATCGTCTATGTTGTGGTGGTTGCCTGAGCCTCCACAACCCGCAGGAGGGTAGGTCAGGCGAGTTGGCAGCTTCAGAGCCCGGCTTTGGGCGGGGAAGGGGGAAGATGCTCTAACAAACAACTGCTGCTCCAGCATTGCTTCCTTCCCCCC